TGATCCAAGATCAATTACCAATTGTGTTAGGTTTCCACATGCATTCACTATGTGCTTTACCCTTCTCTTTTATCAAAGCCACTTTTGCTTTTCAAGTCAGAATATGTTCATTAAAAAAATAGTAATGGGTGCAGTGGATTGAAAAATTGTAACGGATGCTTTAACTTTTTTTTTTGTCTTGTTGTTGAGTCAGGTTATTAAAAGGGATGATGATTGAGCAGTCTGAATGCTTCCAACAAGTTTTTCACTTGGCTAGGAGGTGGAGAATGCAGTGTGGGTGTCCCTGAAATCTACATGGGCAGCACTACTTTTCCTATGTCCTCTTCAGTTCCCTTTACCCTGGTGGCGTGGCTCATTTGGGAATGATGTCATGTTTGGCTGTCCCACCTCTGACTGGGCATAGGCCCAGTAAATCTGCCAGCGTAAAATTAATGGAAGGTGGGGTCTCAACTTCAGCAGAGATTTCTGGCCTTTCTCTTACTCTCAGTTCTTCACTTTTAGACAGTTCTGACATAATTCTTGCTGAAGTTATTGTTACCGTCCCTGTCTCACAGTCTGTACTTAGCCCAGTTTTACCTCTCTCCTTTCTTACCAGGGAGACATGAAGCACATACAAATACGAACCAAGAGGTAGTTTTTATTGCAGGTATTTAAAAAACTTTTTTTGCAAAGGTCAAACTTCCTTTCGTTTTTACCCAAAATAAGTCTTTCTGAGAGGTGTGGATTATGCTATCTGCTCTCCCTTGTTCCAGAATTGTCTGATTCTTTCATGTTCTTGTACTGTGAAACACTTTGAAATCCATCAGGCTTGAAAGCTTCTAGGTAAGGCAGAACATTCATTATTAATAATAAGTCAGACTTGTTTTTCTGTTTCAGGAGTTTCTGGCCTATTCATATTCAGCTGTAAAACATCAGTTGTTATTTACACCCCTGTCTGTATTTGTAATGGATTTATTTCCATTACTGTTCTTACAAGCTAGAACAAAATAAACTGATTTGTAAGTAGGCCTGCTTATGCCTGACTCCTGTAGCCTGAGAATAATTATTAATGTTCAGTACATTTTGGTCTTTCACCCTGACTCCTGTAAGAAGTTTATCAGGGTACCATGAAGGTCACCTGATCCTAGAATTAATTTGGTAAACTGCTGTTGTGTAGGTTTGTGGAAGGCCTTTAAGGAGAAATCTCTGCAAGGTGCTGTGTGAAGAAATTGCCAGCACCAGTCTGTTTTCTGGAGCCCACAGTTGACCGACAAAGGGAAAGAAAGATCACAAATCTACTGGTAGTCAAATGAAAGGCAGCCCCTCTCCTCTCTTACTTTAGGAGTTACCTCATCTCGTATGTGCCCACAGGAGAAATCGAAAAGGTGAAAAATAACAGTAAAAGGGAAGAAACTTTAGAAGAAGCAGTTGAGACAGTTGAAAAACAGAATCTGGGAACTGCTTCACTTAGGTGGCCTCCCTTGACATTTTATTTTCTACTGGTGACAACCTGTTCTTCTTGATCGGAGCCAGACTCTGGACTTTGCATTTGCTTATTTTCGTCTGCAAGCCAGTGCAGTCTCAGGAGGATCAGTGTGACTCCTTCATTTTGCTATGTTTATTTTTATATGTCAGCCAAAGTGTGGTTAAAAAACCGGTGTATCTCACGTTTACAGATTCTTTAAAAAAACCTTTGACAATGTATCTCAAAAAGGCTAAGAGAACTAAATTGTCACAGAGGAGAGGAACAGTGTGGTGTTACGGTGGTTTGAAGACAGGGAAAGGTAGAACTGTTGGATGTCACTCAGTATCCATGAGGGATTATCCTTGGGTGTCCCTTAGCTCACCCAGCGTGGGTGTGAGTGGTTGCTGCTGGTGAGGACAGTGAGATGATCCAAGGGGACCTGATGGTTTGGGTGCAGGTTGAACTGCAGCAATGTGTTTTCTGCTGAGAACTTTGTTCACTTTGTTTGTAGGTAATACAGACCCTCAGTCTTTGACCTGAAGTGCCAGCAGACAAAAGTTAGCAAGACATTTTTCTTATGGTCGGCTTTTTAGAGAGTGAACTGTCCTTCAGACACCTTTTTTGGTGCATCTTCCTCTAAAGCAGCTGGTAATGGCTATGATTTGAAGCAAGGTACTGTTTGAAATACTTTGGTGTTTCTGTGACTGCAGAAGTGACTGATGTCAGTTCTTTATTTTATGGATTCCCACACTGATTTGTGGGAAACCAGTTCTGGCTTATTTCTTAATGGGAAATCAGTACTTCTGTGTTCCTTAATGGGATTTTTACCTCTCTTCCCTTGGTATAGGAAGCACTGTAGAGCAAGTGGTAGGGATGTACCAGTATTACTACAAGTAATCCATCTCCTTGGTACGGGGTCTGTGTTGGATGAGTCAGCCTCTTCAGTCATTTGTATCTGAGGGAGAAAGGAGCAGTCTTTTCCACTTTTTGTTGTCCTGCTGGGTTCTTATTTGGGCTCAGCAGAAAGATCTGGTTATACAGCGCTGTTTCTCATATTGTGTTACTTCCATTTACTGGGGGTTGGGCATGGATCCAAGGGTGAGGGGTTAAAGAATACTCTTCGTGTATCAGGCGCATCCTTGGGATAAGGAGAGTGCTCTCTAGATGCAGGGCATCAGCCTCCTCCTCTGTTTACCCCTCTTGACTCGGGGGCATAAAATGCAGGCAGAAACTTGATAGATTGTTTCAGCCTTTCCTTCACAGCATTTGCTGTGGTTCCTGGTAAGTTTTTATGCACAGTGCACTGAAGCTCTTAGCCTAGGCCCTGGTGGGAAAGCAGCAGTAAAGCAATGCTGTGAAATCGGGAGTTATTGAGGGGTTGGGTAGAGCACTGTCAATGCAGCTATGCAGCTTGGTGGTTTTTGACTCAGAAATACTGTAAACCTGAGGCAAGTGCTTTCTGAAGGCAAGCAATGTGCTGTGAAGATTACTGTACGTTTTTAGATAGGCTACTTTAAGTAGCAGCATAGATCAAAGCTAAGGTAGCTCTCTTGATGGTTTTAATCTTCAGACACTGTCTGAAAATATCTCCACTGTGCCCTGTGCTATTGTATTTGCTTTAGTTTTTTTGGATGATTACCTATAGCCTTATCTACTGAGCATGATTGTGTGCCAGTGAAATGCACATGAGTCCAGCTACGCTTGAGGAAAATGACAGTGCTGTAATGGCTGCGTTCTTCTGACACAGTGAAAGAGCAGCAATTTCATGACAAATTCAGTTTAAGGATGTATGAGTGAGAGATGGAATCCAAGTTTGATGTAGTTAGGACAAAGATGGGAGAAAGATTACATTTAATAAAGTTTTGGATTACTTTTTCTGTCTCTCACAGCTTTTTTATTGTTTGAATGAATGCAAAAGAGAGAAGTAGTTTTAGGGTTGTATTTTGTTTGTTTGTTTGTTTTTCACAACCCTCTCCCTACCCAGCCACATTCCGGGGAATTATTTTAACAGTTTATATGTAAGTGCTTTCAAGCCAAGTATTATTTCTACGGAGTGCTACATTTCAGCCTTATCCATCCACCTGTCACCACAAGGGTTTCATTCCAGAGCCAGCTGACATCACTGCAATGTAGCTTATCAATTTTTATAAGCTTTAGCTCAGTCTCCCAGTTTCCAGTGTTCAGGTAGGTGTGGTGATGTGTAAATCCCCACAGGAGTGTTCAGCATCCTCACAGGGCTAGGGCCTGAGTGAAAGACATGGAAGCCTTTCAATTTTGTGGTTTACTGTTGAACTGATAAACTAGTGGGAAATCCAGTAACAAACAACTGAAAATACCATTGTGTAGATATTTTTTTCTTTATATATAAAGAAATTACTCTCCTTGCCAGAATACTGATGCTAGGAAGAAAAATTATGCCAATGTAGGAGCCCAAATGCTTTGCTTTAATACAAACATTCCTGTTTCTGTAGTGCGTTATTTAAAGATAATCAGTAATGTTGCTTGTATTTCACGTGTATGACACCTTTTTGCTGCAAGACGTGCACCTCTGTTTTCTGCATTATTGTCCCAAACCAGGATCTTCTGGCACTGTATAAAAGTCTGATTTTGCCAAGGTGTGGGGAAGAGAGTGAAGATTTGCTGTGGCATGGCTATATAATGGGGGTTGGGTTTTAGTTATGCTGGTTCCATATTGACTGAGAACTGAATCCTATCTGAAGGACTTAGTAGTGGGTAAAAGCATGAAGGACAAAACTAACTTACAAAAGTACATTTGGAGCCAGTTCTCTGTATTTTAGTGATCAGAGGGCAAGACAGAGGAATCTTTCCTGCCCTTTTCTCTCAATGAGTAGGAATCACTAAAATGACAGGAGACCTGGGGATGAAGAGAGCTCAGAAGGAACTGGGCAGCAGCAGCACAAAACCAGAGTGAACGCTGAACTCCTCAACCCGGTTCTGGCGGTCTGTCATTGGGAAGTGAACTTCACAGTTTTAGACACAACGCGTTGTTTCCACAGACACCCTGACTGTACGCAATGGAAAACCAAAACAGTACGTGAAAGGAATGCTAAAGGCCTAGCTCAGATGAGCTGGAGCAAGGAGATTTGTCTGTCTTGCTGTGGCTGTGCTGATGTCTCATATGTGTGTGTTTACTAGAATGTAATTTGGTTCCTTGAGGCGCTCATGCTATCAGTTATCGCTGAGGTTTTTCTCTGGGGAGCTGCATAATTCCATTTGGTGGCTGAATTAGGTGTTGTTTTCTTCATCAGTTCCTAATGTGCTGAATCAATCAGGTTTCCAGATACTTAAATGAACTAATTCTGCCAGGTAGATTTAGTTATAAAGAAATAACGTAGAAAGAAAATATATAATGGTGGACAACATTGACTTGTCTTTACCTATTTTTATTTAAGCTTGCAAGAGGATTTATCTCTTGTAGGTTTGCAGCACCATTACAAAGCAAGCTATTTAGTGTCTTTTGCCCCCTGATGTTCTATTCCAAACCACTGCATTAAGTGGATTTTTTTAAAACTTAGTTTAGCTGCTCCTGGCTGAAATGGTGGTGGTGAAGATGCCTGGGAAGCCAAAGGATTGGGATGGGATATCTGCCTCTGTTATCCCAGTCCCAGGAAATCAGCACAGAGCTGCTGCAAACCCAGACAAATCACAGGTATTGCATTTGTTTCTTCCTTCCCTTACCCTCTTTTATCTTAGTCTTTTTTTGCTAATTCTTTCATTAGTCTAAAGGTTTGTGTTACCCAGTGTACCCTGGAAAAAGAGAGTGCTGTGTGCCGGAATAGCGACAAGCTTTTGCCTCTTTTTTAAATTTTGTGTTTGCTGGGGTTACAGGCCTCCATGCTAATACATATTTCCTAGCTTAAAACAAGAGTTGGATGCAGTTAGTGTTTATCCAGACACAATGAAAATCAGTGCCCAAAATCACCTTTAAAAATCTAAAGTGGATTCTGACCCCAAATACACAGGTGTCGGTGACTGCTGGAGCTCCTGTGCCATTGTCCACATCACAAACTGCAATGAAGAGAGAGGTGGACACCAAAAAGGCCGGGATGTGGGAATGGCTGCCTGCAGTAAAAGCCAAGAAACCTGAGAATCTGACCTCCTTTGGGAGATACTGAAAGGTGCAGAGCAGTTTGCTCAGAGACGGATTCAGCTGAATAGTCAACCATGCTATTTGAGATGTGTATGAGAAAGTGGGATGCTTGATTAGGAAAGGTGGGAGAAGGGATATAAGAAGGGGTTGGAAAGACTCACAGGGAAAATAAGAAATAGTGAATCTTTAAAACGTATACAGCTTGGCTCAGCAAGTTTGGTTTCGGACACTGAACTGACAGAAATTCATCTACCTTTCTGCACTCTTCTAGAAGAGATGTCAGCAAGGACAGTATCCTGGGCTGAGTATCAAAATTAGAGATATATACTGGCAAAAATGAAAGTATTCCAGTTATATTTTGAGAATTTTTAAAAAATGTTTTGATTACATGTTTAATTAGAGAGAGAGAAAAATAAACCTATTCTAAATTACAACATTCCTTTGAAATGTGTTTTGTAAATGAAGCTTCATCACATCAAAGCTTCTGCATGCTTCAGAATGTAGAAATAAGTAACAGAACTGGGAAAAGTTGAGTTTGGGGTCTCTGCCCCTTGCTGTAAATGTTTTCTATACTCATAAAAATCATAGGCTCATTTTCCAGCTGTAAACTGGCATTGCACCACTGAAGTAGCTTATTGTTCTCTAAGCAACTGAAACCAGTCTATTTTGGTTTTTAATGAATGCATGTTTCTTGTAAGCTAGAAAGTGCAGAAATGTGGTGATTGTAATTCTTTGAAAAGATCCTGCAGAGATGATTCTAGTAAGGATGCTAAATTTGCCTAGCTTCAGCACCAGGCAGATCTGTGGTGACTCCCTGTGTTCAGTGTTTATGCATATATGCACAGCACCTATTATAATATTTACATTTAAAAACACATGAAGTTTTAGCCTAGTATACCTATTTCAGAGCTGCAGTGCATTCAAAGTCTGCCATTTCAAGGTCTCTGTTTTCACTGTGAAGCAATCTTTTTGCTTTGGATGCAGATTCACTTTAATGAGTGTGACAATACAAGTAAGCCTGACTTCATAATTATTTGATATAATTTAGATGCAAATGAGGACTTCACATTCAGGCAGTTCCGCCTTTGTTCTCACTCCGGTTCATTGGATTTCATCAGCATGCGGTGTCGTCCTGTTCAAGGTCATTTGGGAGAGGAGGATTGAGTTCCATTATCCTCCCATTTTTACTATAGACGCACAGGGTCGAAGCAGTTTTTTCTGGGAAAGCTGCTTGTCGGTGCAAGTTGCAAATGTTCTTTCCTCTCCTTCTGCCAGCAGTGAGTTTGGTCCTTTGAGTTGTTTGGTTTTTTTTAAATACTGCGTGCTAATGTCTTAATTGCAAAAGTAGTTGAAGGCACCGGTAATGAGACGTGGAATCTCTACCATGCAGGTTGTCAGCTAAATCCATTCCATGATGAGAGTAATTTAAAGACACTTCAGCTGGCTTCCAGTGTGAAATGATGGGGATTTATGTTTTCTTCCAAGCAAACAAGAGTTTCCTTTTTTTATTCATAAATAACACTACTCAGTGCTTCAGTGAATGCAGAGATGAGGCCAAGGAATAGACGGGGAGAAAGCAATGCCAGGGTTGGTCTTGTCAGGTCTTTCAGGTCTTTTAGAGCTAGCTACCAGGACGATATGTACATACTCATAGTGCTGTTTTTGTGAAGGATTATCCTGGGTTGTCAGGTTGGCATTTTCACAGCTGTTCCATGTACTTTGGACCAAAAGTCAGGGACCTGACTAGAAAGCAGCTCACCTGGAAGCTTTCAGGACATACGGCTGAACAGAATCCTGGTTTTCTTCAAAACTGTGATGGTAGACTGGAAGCTAAAAGGATTTGACCCAATAAAATGAAAGGTTATAATGGAAAATAAATATATTTTCATTAATCATTGTGGAAGAGATTTTTAATTTTAGCAGTGCTGTTGTCTCTGCTGGGTTGATTAACCAGCGCAAGTTGTTTGCTATTCTTCCTGCATCAAGGACGGTTTAGTATTCTTTGTGTGTCAAACGCAATAAATGCTGTCAGCAGTAATTAGGATTCTGAATCTGTTCTCTGCTATCTACTTGTTGCTGATCATTGAAAACAAAAATAAATTTAATATTCTCATGCAAGCTGAGTTTGATATATGATTTGGTAGCAAGGCTTTGGTTTGAGTAATTCAATGTATGCGGCAGACATGAAAATTAGGGTGGTGAATGCCTCGCTCTATTTGTTCTTTCAGAAGGGTCTTTTCAGTTTGGATTTATTGTTTTCATGCAAACACGTAAAAAACCTCGATGCTTTTTCTTACTGTCTTTGACCTGGACACTAAAAGATGCAAAGGGGGAAAACCAAAACATTTTATGAGGTGTCCTGAGGTGGTTCCTAGGGGTCACTTCATTTGGACTGTACAGAGCCTTGGAAAATTATGTTGTGCTTAGGCTTCTGTGGATTGTGATACTGAGAGTGAAGAGGACTGCACCTGAACACTTCCTTCCTTACACTGAAAGGACGAAACCAGGGTGATGAGCAAGGCTGTGATGCCACCAAGGCCACCAGATGGTTGTTTGCACTTGTAGATTCAGCTTTTGTGCGTTCAGTATTTGGCTGCTTCAGATGTTGTCAGATTACAAATGGCAACTGAAAGGAAAAGAAAATACTGAGATGAGGTTAGGTCATCTCTTGTTTTGCTGGTTTCAAGATGCCTTACGGGCCAGTTTTGAGGCAAAGTTAGGTTGAAACCTGTTCCGTCTTCTTAAGCTGGTTCAAAATCAGGGTGCTATGACTGAGCTGTCTCATATCCAGCCCATCTTTGTCCATCTTTGTTTTAAGTAAGCATTAGGGGTTTTTTTCTTGTTGTCTATACCTAGGAACCGTATATTCTTCCTACTTAAGGCTATTTTCTCACACTCACTCTCATATTTATTTTAAACTGAAATGTGTTACCTCAGTAGGAGACCGTGATGACTCTATTACTGTAAGCATCAAGTGAAAATAATTTTCCAGGCTCGTAATTACCCTCTTATGGAAAGCTTAATGAAACACTTTCTGTTATAGGTTGGCTGTGATCGCAGCAAAAACCTGGTGGATATTTGTGGAGAAAAAAATTTCCAGGCTTTTGTCTGTGATGCTCTGTCGGTGCCAATCCGCAGCGGCTCTTGCGACGCCTGCATCTCTATTGCTGTAATCCACCATTTTTCAACAGCGGTAAGTGACCCCTCTCTGTGCTCCACTGTTGTGTTCTACTGCTGTGCAGAGCAACTCATGTTATAAAAAACCTGCTACTTTGGGCTCATGGAAGCAAAAGGGAAGAACAAAATGGGGAGAAATCAAAGGTTTGCACTTGTTGTAAGGAGTTGTCAGGGCAGAGTTAAGCTGTTGTGCTGCTGCTGCTGTTTCTCTCCACATTCTCCCTCTACTTGTTATGTGCTCTTGCTCCTACTGGCACTTTAAGTGTTTATGTTTCATTTTTATCTGCTCACAATTTATGACACTGGAGAAGGGCGCTCTGCTTTGGGAGTCAAGAGATATGTTACTTTCTGGCTCAAATCTTGAGCAGATCTGATTTTTTATTCTGTGCCTTCACTGCCATCTGCAAAGAGCATCATGGACAGTACTCACTGGTCTGCCCTATCTCTGGGGTCTGTAAGCTTCTCCTGGCAGGACCTGTGCAATTTTAACAAGTTTTTAGACCATGGAGCCCTAAGCTGAGGTGTGGCCTGGTGGTCTCTCTCCATACCAGAAATACAGCAAGTGTTTCCAAATGCAACATAAAAAGGTAGAAAGAAGTCTGTTTTGGAGAAGGCTGACGTATCTTTGGGTGGTCAGAGGACCTGGGTTTGAGCTGTAAAACTGACCTTTCAGCTGCAAACTTCCATCATGTGTGGAAGATCCGAACCTGGGATTTTAGATATTGAGCAACCTTCTTCAAGAGGCAATGTGTCATTTCCAGCCAGGCTGATACGTACAGGAAATACTGCTCAGCACAGTACTGTTTTCAGATGAGAAGAGGATTGTGTCCAGGAAAATGTCTTGGCTTGTGCAGAGTGATGGACTGTATTATGAATGAAAATGAACAGTGGAAAGAGTTCCTCCGATTTTTATTGTATCTTGAGGGGGACAGTAAGGAGAATTTGCTGCCATTTCGTTCTCCTGTCTCTTTGGTTATGTACTACCTTCACAGTTTTGTTTTTCCATTACAGGAGAGGAGACTGGCTACTATCCGTGAACTCGCCCGGCTGCTACGACCCGGTGGAACGGCGCTCATTTATGTCTGGGCAATGGAACAAGAATACAAAAACCAGAAGTCTAAATACCTCAAGGGAAAGAATGGTGGTAAAGGCAAGGAGGAGGAAATCAACACTGGCACGGCCCAGGGACTGCTCAGTGATCAAATGCTTGACAGCAGCAGCCAAGACGCAGCGTGTTCTGACCGACTCCTTGCTGACTCCCAGGATGAAAGCTGTGCTGCAGAGCCAGCTGCAGGCTCCAGGCTGCCTGTTCACACCAACCGAACCTCCTTTCACTCTCAGGATTTGCTGGTTCCCTGGCACCTGAAAGGCGGCACTAAAAAGAAAGGGGAAGGTGTTGGTACAGTGCTGTGTCCAGCTGGCTCTAAGCAGTCGCAAGGGCTCAGCCGCGTTTTCCACCGTTACTACCACGTGTTCTGTGAAGGGGAACTGGAAGCAGCGTGCAGATCCCTGGACTGTGTGAGGGTTCAAAAGAGTTACTATGATCAGGGAAACTGGTGTGTGGTTCTAGAAAAGCTGTAGTCTGTAGTGTTTCCTCCACTACCTGTGGTATTTTGTTTGTTTTTTTACAGTATGAAAAGTATTTTTAATGCGGGCTGCAGCTACTACCTCTTTTAAAATAGCAGAATAAAGATTGTTTATTGAGTTATTAACTAGCACTGTGTGCATATGTTAGCAAAATAATGGCCTAGTAACTCACATACTACCTCTGCACAGTGTTTATTTTACTTTTGTGAACTACAAAGAATAGAATTAAGTGGGCAAATATTGGCCATGGAAGTCAGTAAGACTAGCGTTGAACTTTTAAAGGTAAAGGGCCTGGTTCTCCCTTCTCTTACTCCAGTTTGTGCTGATGTAGCTGTAGTGGCCTCCCTACAGCCCACAGCTGACTGTAGTGTAGCTCTGGGCACGAAAGGTAAAGCTGTTTTATACAGCAAACTGGGGGTGAGGGAGGAGGTAATGGATGACATGTGAAGCAGGTTAGCTGAATGAGTCACCACGTTGCCTGAAGCTCAGGGTCCTGCCTGTTCTGGTGTCTGTCAGGCTCCAACAGGTCTCTTTCAACTTGGAATATACTCTCCTTTCTTGGTCGTGGTACTAATGATTTCCTCAAGGGGAACTGGAAAGCCAGTGGGATAGCACTGCCCTTTTTCTCTTCCTTGGCCCTCAAGCAGCCACAATTTATGCTGTCACTCCCTAGGTGACTCCCTAGTGTTCTCTAGCTCTACACTGTAATGTCTGAAAGCTCCCCTGAGGCGTGAGGTTGCCCATACCCTGTTCAGCTCTGCTGAACGCCTGCGTTCTGTGAGTGCAGGGCTCTGAGCCTCCAGCACCAGGGTTTGTGGTGTGGGGTCAGCTCATATGCCTCTGGAAAAAAATAAGAGAAAGATTGAAGTGAAGGTGATATTGGTGCAAACTTTCTGTATGCAGGTAGTTTTGGTCCCTAAATGTTGGCAGTGGAACAAGTTTCTTTTATTGTCCTTCAGAAGAACAAAGAACTGGAGTAGAGGGGATGTGATGCTGGGCTGGCTGACAGCAGCCATTGCTGCTGTTGCCTGCAATGGCTGGCACGATTTATTTAACACAGCCTTTGTGCTATCATAGGAGTGTGTCACCTGCAATGCACTTTCAGAATTAAAATATAATGGACTGGCTTTTGCAGGGTGAGTTGCTACTGGTGCTGTCAAAAACCAGCACTGCTGGGCTATGCCCTCATTGCCCTTTTCAGCCATTCATTGGCTGTAGCTGTAGCAAGATCTATGGTACAGGCTGTCATTGCTGCTGTAACTAATGGTGTCTAAACCAAAGCGCCCACCCTGAATCACAGGGACTTGGGAGGATAGCTGTGTGCCCTTGGCCTACTCCTGCCTGCCTCAGACTTGCAGGTTAAAGGGGTTGCTGTGCTGGCAGCCTACTCCCTGTCCCCATTTCTCCTAGGCTCTGCCATGTTTCCACCGCGTCATATAATGGAGAAAATCTGAGGGGAACAACAGTGGTAAGAGAGGAGCTTGCTGCCACCACAATTCATCTGGCCTGTGCCTTGCTTGGTATCTGCTTGCAAAGAGCCCTTGGGGAAGATCTCATTCCTCAGCTGCACACGTTGTCTATGTAGCAGCAGTCCTGTCCTAGCTGATTTCTTTCATTTGGGCCACATGGAGGCAGAGGGGCATGTCCATGGCAGGAGGGCCTTCTTGGACATGTTAAGGAGTTGGTTTGCATACATTCAGTAAATACCACAGAGCTGGGAAGCGTTGGACTTCCCATACGTGTGCAGTTTGGCTTTTCTGGTATGCGGCATGGCTGGTGAGCTTATGCAGGAGGAGACTTCCTTTCTCCTGGATAACATCTCTGGTCAGGCTCTTGGGCATTGCTGATCCAGACCTTGGGATGTGCAGGCCCTGGTGTTGTCAGAGGAGACACGGTGCTGGAAAGCAAAGAACGAAACAGTGACTGTCGATCGTGCAGTTTCTACACAGGAGCAACTCACTGAACAGTGCAGGCACACAGGAAAAGGCTGTGGTCACTCCAAGCCTTGATTTAAGGAAAAAAGTCCAAGATGGGAAGCAGAAATTTGAGTCCAAAGAGTGAAGTAAACTGGTTGATACCATAGGTAGAGGTGGGAGTGTGATCCATTTTCTGACTGCATTGCAGGCCTGGGCTACCCCTGTAATTTTAAAACATTTACAGTGTAGTAAATAATTCATTTTCCACCTCCAGCCAACTGCCCCCTCCCTGCCCTTGTCTGGAGTGGGGCTTCTCCATGCTGTCAGAGAGAGGCTGATCATGGCTCCATATGGAGGTCCCCACACACTAAAGTGTAGCCCACGGGCAGTGGTTGCTTGTGTTTGAAAAGTCCGTAGGGCTGATACCTGTTCTCTGGCTCTTTTTGTTCCTCCTTTACCCATTGTTTGTCTCTTGCCAGTTGTCGTTTTTGCTGTTCCCTGTTTTCCTCCTCTTCTTTAGCCTAGAGGGGAATTTACTTGTCCTTGCCTGTACTCCCAGCTGATGTGCCATGGGCAGAGGGCAGCCCTGGGAAGACAAGCAGGAGTGTGCTTTGCTGGTAGGTATCGTCAGTAAATAGCAACACTGAGTAATATGTATTCCAGCTAAGAAAACTTAAGAAATGTGGCCAATTTACTTTTACTTGGCATTACATGTTGCCGAGAAACCTGCCTTTCAGTTATTCAGACTGCATCATGTTTTGCAGGGATGTCTCAGTGTGCTCTTTTCCCTCTGGGATACTTCCCAGAAAGGTGCATGTCCCACTGGGGGCTGGCTGTCAGAAGGGCCCTGCATGACACAGCTTTGCATCAAGACCCTGAGCTGGCATCAGTACTTGGATGCTGTGTTTGGGTGCAGCAGCGCACCCGGTTCCCAGGTGGGCTGCAGGGCTGGAGCTAACCTGGACATTTCCTGACACAGTGCCACATGGTGTCGATGTGTCACTGGTGACAGAAGGCAGGGACAGCCTCTGCTGGCTGGCTGTGCAGGGACTAACTCGCTAAATTGGGCTGCCTGTTATTTCTGATCACTGTGTATTGCATTCATGTAGAAGAAAGTAGGGAGACCGCATTTCTTACACTCTTTATCTGCATGGCCATGTGTTTGTGGGTGCCTGGATGCATGCTGAGCACACAGCAGCTGCTGCTCCATTTGCCTGTATGTGCATTTTCCATGAGTATGTACAATGCGCCAGCAAGAAACACAAGCACTGCTTGAAACAGTTCAAAGTGCTGCCGTGTCTTGACCTTGTGTGACAAATTAGGGATCAGGTCTGCAGCAGTGCTTGATTACTCACTGTACCTTGTTCTGACTGGGGAGAGCTCAGAGGTGCGCCTCCGAATTAACCGCTGGCCCTGAGGTTAAGTGCTGTTTTGACCTAGGGCTTGGATGCACCAAGTAAACATAAACCCTGAACAGTCAAATGTAGACTTAATGTAACAGAGTGATCTATTTATCTCAGGCCCTTTGGCTCCTCAGAGCTCTGCTGCTTCCCTCTGCTTCCCTGGCAGTGTCGGGAGTGGCATTAAGCATTTCTGGACTGCCAAGGCTGATTAACATAATTTCTTGACTGTTTTATAAATGAAGAGGTCAGATTCCCTTTTTCATGGTGAAGCACCTGGGATGTGCGAGAGAAGAGTCAGACTTTGTTCTCAGCCTTCAAATTCCATCAATATTCCTGCTAAAAAACTGTGAGATATTCTCTTCAATCTATTGTTTTTAGCTTAGTCATAGTAGCATTACCCATCCATTTTGCCCTGACCCGGAGCAGAATCATAGAGTCATAGAATGTGTTGGGTTGAAAGAGACCTTTAAAGATCATCCAGTCCAGCCCCACTGCAGTCAGCCAGGGACATTGGTACCAGATCAGGTTGCTCACAGCCCCATCAAGCCTGGCCTTGAATATCTCCAGGGATGGGGCCTCCACCACCTCCCTGGGCAACCCGTGCCACTGATCTACCACCCTCATAGTGAAGAACTTTTTCCTAATATCCAACCTAAATCTACCCTTTTCTAGTTTAAAACCATTACCCCTCGTCCTATTGCTACATGCCCTAGTGAACAGCTCTTCCCCAGATTTCTGGAAGCTGTGGCTGTCCGAATCCCAGGCAGGCTGGTGGTGATGGGTCTCAGCTGCTCCTTACTCTGGAAGGGGGTTCTGGCATGGAGAACTTGGGGTTGGGCAACGCTGATGTGCGAGTGGAACATGAAGTGCATAAGCTGTTACCAAAGGGAGTTTTCTGGTGGTCCCAAGGGCTGTGACCCAGAGGCCTGTCCCAGGAGCCCGTCAGCTCTTCAAAGACACTACAAGAGCTCAAAGAAGTTGGACATCCTCCGAGGCTGGAAATGTTATGAAGTATTTCCTTGATTAAAGTCAGGCAGTCATTTCAGATGCTTGGAGAGGAATCAAGTGGTGAAGGAGAAAATGACAAGGGAGGACAGCAGGTAGATGTTAACAAAATGTACTGCAGAGGTTTATTGAGGAGCTCATTACAGGGAATTGCTTGAAAGAGTCCAGTGCAGAGCCACAAGGATGATCAAGGGAGTGGAGCATCTCCCTGATGAGGAGCAGCTGAGGGAGCTGGGTCTCTAGCTTGGAGAAGAGGAGACTGAGGGGTGACCTCATTAATGTTTATAAATTTGTAAAGGGCGAGTGTCAGGAGGAAGGAGCCAGGCTCTGCTCTGGGATGTCCAATGACAGGACAAGGGGCAATGGGAGCATGCTGTAGCATAGGAGGTTCAATCTGACCAGAAGGAAAAGCTTCTTTACTGTGAGGGTGCCAGAGCATGGCCCAGGCTGCCCAGAGAGGTTGTGGAGTCTCCTTCTCTGGACACCTTCAAAACCTGCCTGGGTGTGTTCCTGTGTGACCTGGTCTGGGTGATCCTGCTCTGGCAGGGGTTGGACTGGATGATCTTTCGAGGTCCCTTCCAACTCCTAAGATTCTGTGATTCTGTGATTACAACACAGAGTTACATGACACCACAGCTGCCCTCTGCAGTACTCACTTGTGCCTTTTTACCTGCTGGAAGTGTA